GTGCTTGGAGAAATCATTACAGTTGTGCCTGCTCCCTGTAATACACTCTATATTATACACAAGCCTGGTAAGACTGCTGACCAGAGTCAGTGGACACTGCTGCAGCTCCTCTTCCCTTTTGATCTGCACTTCAGCAATGGACATGTACTTATGCTGGAGAAAAAAACAAAAACATATGAGAATAATTGTTAATTAGCATCGTCGGCTGACACCCAGAGCTGTGTGATTAAGCACATCGGTCTGTTCTACAAAGACGTTATGGATTTTTCAGTGGGAGGCCAATTTCAAGGGGATTCAACAGTGTGGGAGTATTGATTAACGGAGACTATATCCACAAGGAAGTGGATAAGGGCATCTAGAAATGTGAATTTGTGTAAGAATGACTTACTAAGTCAAAAACAAAAAATAATCCCACAGTAATTCCCACACTCACCTGTTTAAGAGTCTTGACACTCTCATGGATGGGTCTGGGTAAGCCCACCAGGGTTTCTGTGTCACTGTAAAGTAACGAACAGCACTCGAATGAAGAAGTCGCCAAAAACTGAATGAATACAGATATTTAACAGTCTTAGATGAAGCACCTACTTCCCCAGAGTAAAACCGATGAACTTGTTCCTACTCGTCTCGAGGAAGTGCTCGATGTCTTTCTCCCTGAAGACACAGGAGCAGACTCAAGTGAGATTTAAGCCACAAATATGTGCGCGCACACCCACATAAACGCAAACAACACAAGATCACAGCGTACTGCATCAGCTCCCTCTCAAATCTCATGGGGCACACGGTGTTCTTCTGCTGCTCTCTGTGAGAAGGGTTAAGAACCTCCTACTGATCAGAGTCTAATCACCATTGTGTGATGCAGCGCTCTGACCAAAGAAAAAAAACACAGTAACGAGAGCGCCCAGTGACACAGCTCACTTAAAGAAAAGGCTTTAACTGATGCACTGCTCTTCTCTGAGATGTATTATTCAACAGCAGCCCCCTGCAGAGACACCCAGGCTCCTGTCTGAAATACACAGATGGAGAGCATATTGTTGGACGTTGGCGAGGAGAGAAATCTGGAGGAGGTTGTGTTTAAGATCTACTTTTAACTTCTGGAAACCAGGGTGGGAAACAGACACCACCTTCCCGTCATGTCCCAGGTGAAGTTTCCTGTACCCCAGTGGTCACCGTGGTAACAAACCAACCAATCCTTTGGAACTTTTGTAGAATAAAACGTCATATCATGAACAACTTTCTGACTTTTAGGAATACAGATTGCAACAACATTTTTTTTTATTAACCTGACTTTAGGGGCCCAAGGAAGACCTTTGGGGAAGTTGACCCTCTCTGTCGGTGGTCTCAGAGGAGGTGGCGGTGGTGGCGGTTGGATGATGACGTCGCGGTCCAGAGGGTCCACCTCACCCTCAATACCGCTGTCCGTGTCCTCAGGGTCCTCCTCTTCGTCCCGGGCGTCGTCGTTCTTAAAGGGGTCTCGCTCGTTGTACGTGTCCAAGCTGTCCTGCTTGACCAGGGGCTGGGAGACAGAGGGGAGAGGAGGGAAAGGAGGTCAGATATGCACCTACTGTGCAACCAAGGAGTCAGCAGCTCGTCCAAATTTTTTAAGACATAATAAATTCCAGTTTTCACTGCAAAACCAAGAAGTGATTGAAAATCCACCATATAAACTTTACCTGTGAGTTTATCAGCTTTAAGCACCTTCTTCTCTGCAAATGTTTATACAATCATGCAAAAGGAATTAAAGTGCTTCCATCTAGACTGCAGGAAGCAGTGCACCAGATACCATTTTTACT